AAAATGTTTTAATAACTTAGCATTTTTTCTTTTTTTTTTTTATTACTATGAGACATGTTGGCTCCTGGCAGCACCAATCTACTTCAGAGAAGATATGGACATTGAAGAAAATGCATATGGAGCTAACTTTCATTGTGGCCAATGTTAGCCACTGGGCAATAAAGTGCCCTGTATCAACTGCTGACAGTATGCTATTCAAAATGGACAAACAGGACACAAAACAAAGAACTACAGATCCTTACAAAACAAGTGTGGTTGTGGCTTTAACAACAGGTGTCCTCTGAGGCCAGGACAATATGGCACCATCACTGAAGTGGCTTTGCAATCTGGAAAAGGTACAGTATCCATTTATATGAAGGCAGCTAAACAGGCAGTGGACAGATGGCTTCTGGTGTGCAGTGGAATAGTAGTTGAAACAGTTATTCTTGCAAAAGTAACTAGGCAAATGGAGTTTAACAGTAGACTGGTATTTAGTAAAGGAGATAAAGCCACCCACAAGCTGAGAAGAATGGGCAGCCAAATTCCAAAAACACCAGCAATTTCCAGAGTTTAAAATCCTGCATCATGACAGGACACTGATGGAATTCAGGTTTATCTGGTACTTGGAATACTCGAACCAAATGTGAGGTTGAGCTGTAGGCATTGTGTACATCCTACTTCACAAATGAGTTTGTCAGATACACTAAGCCTGTAGGCCAAAGATGATGCCCCAACATGCAGAGGAACCTTGGGTGACTGTCCAGGCAGCTGACTGTTTCTGTCAACTCACATTTTTTTGGAAGTCCCTTGTTTGCACTTCCTGTTTTACTAGGTAATATTATTTCCTTCTTGTGTCTCTGAGGTAGTTGAAGATTAGATAGTTGTAGTAACAGTTTTCTCTGTTAAGAAATTCAGAAAAAAAAAAACACCTTAATAACAGGTGTTAAGTGTGTAAGTTTGAAAGACATCATAAGATAGTTTTCTGTCAGTAATACAAGATAGGATAAAAAGTGAATTAGGTATATTTTGGGCTCGCCAAAATAGTATAAATAATGGAATATTTTCTCTGAATTTGTCAAATGCAAATGGACTAGACATTGCTGATGTATTTATTGCTTGTATATATTGTATATAGTTATTGCACTTACTGTATATAGTATTTCTTATGTGAGTTATACCTTTTTATTTTCTTTTATTTTTATTAGACAAAAAAGTGGAAATATGGTGATAATTTATTTATAATGAAATGTGGTGATATTTTATTTGTATGTTAATAAATAAAGATTGCCTAGAGAACATAGGAAATAGCAAGCCATTAACACAAAAGTCAGGCAGTGGTAGCACATGCCCTTAATCAATCACTTGGCAGGTAGGAACGCTGTGTGTTCAAGGCCATACTAGGGAACAGAGCCAAGTGTGGTGTCACACGCCTTTAATCAAAGAACCAACTGTACAGACCTGGAGATCTGTACAGACAGGCTGTGACAAGGAAGTGAGGTAGCTGGGCTAAGAGCAATGAGAGGGCAGAACAACAAGGTAATAAAAACCTGGGTAGATAGGAAGTCATGGCATTATGAAAGCTACAGAACTGATGAGGTAAGGTGGTTGGTAGCTCTCACTATTTCTCTGATCACTAAGGCTTTCACCCCTATATTTGGCTCCATGTTCTTTATTTAATGACTGCTTAGAAATTCGACTATAGGATAGTGGACAGTCTTGTCTGGTTCATGATTTTAGTGCAATCATTTTGAATTTCTCTGCATTTAATTTGATGTTGTCTCTCATCTTGCTGTAAATTGCTTTTATTGTGTTTATGTATGTTTCTTGTATTCCTGATCTCTCTAGAACCTTTATCATGAATGGGTGTTGGATTTTGTCAAAGGCTTTTTCAGCATCTAATGAGATGATCATGTGGTTATTTTTCTTTCAGTTTGTTCATATGGTGTATTACATTGACAGAATTTTCATATGTTGAATCACCCTTGCATCCCTGGGATGAAGCCTATTTGGTCATGGTGGATAATTTTTTTTATGTGCTCTTGGATTCGGTTAGCCAGTATTTTATTGAGTATTTTTGCATCAATATTCATGAGGGAGATTGGTCTGTAATTCTCTTTCTTTGTTGCATCTCTGTGTGGTTTGAGTAACTCATAAAAAGTGTTTGGTAATGTTCCTTCTGTTTCTAGTGTGTGGAACAATTTGAAGAGTATTGGTATTAACTCTTTGAAAATCTGGTGGAATTCTGCACTGAAACCATCTTGTCCTAGGCTTTTTTGATGGGAGATTTTTAATGACTGTTTCTATTTCCTTAGGGGTTATTGGTCTATTTAAATAGTTTATCTGGTCTTGATTTCACTTTGGTATGTGATACCTATCCAGAAAATTGTCCATTTCTTTCAGATTTTCTAGTTTTGTGGAGTACAGGTTTTTGAAGTATGACCTGATGATTCTCTGGATTTCCTCATTGTCTGTTGTTATGTCCCCCTTTTCATTTCTGATTTTGTTAATTTGGATATTCTCTCTGCCTTTTGGTTAAGTTGGATAAGGGCTTGTCTATCTTATTGATTTTCTCAAAGAACCAACTCTTCGTTTCATTGATTCTTTGTATTGTTCTCTTTGTTTCTATTTCATTGATTTCAGCCCTCAATTTGATTATTTCCCAGCATCTATTCCTACTGGGTAGTTTTCTTCTTTTTGTTCTAGAGCTTTAAGGTGTACTGTTAATTCGATAGTGTGAGAACTCTCCATTTTCTTTATGTGGCCATTTAGTGCTACGAATTTCCCTCTTAGCACTGCTTTCATAGTGTCCCATAAGTTTGGTTATGTTGTATACTCGTTTTCATAGAATTCTAGAAAATCTTTAATTTCTTTCTTTATTTGTTCCTTGACCCATTGGTGATTCAGTTGGGTATTATTCAGTTTCCATGAGATTGTAGGCTTTCTGTAATTTTTGTTGTTGTTGAAATCTAACTTTAAGGCATGGTGGTCTGATAAGATATAGGAGGTTATTCTAATTTTTTGTATCTGTTCAGATTTGCTTTGTGACCAACCATGTGGTAGATTTTTGAGAAGGTTCCATGGGGTGCTGAGAAGAAGGTATATTCTTTTGTGTTAGGGTGGGATATTCTGTAGATGTCTATTAAGTCTATTTGAGTCATAATGTGTGTTAGTACCCTTATTTCTCTGTTAGGTTTCTGTGTGGCAGACCTGTCCATTGGTGAGAGTGGGGTGTTGAAGTCTCCCACTACTAGTGTATGGGGTTTGATGTGTGATTTAAGCTTTAGTAATGTTTCTTTTACAAATGTGGGTACCCTTGTATTTGGGGTATAAACATTCAGAATTGAGACTTCATCTTGTCGGATTTTCCCTATGATAAATATGTAATATCCTTCTCAAATAAAATTATTGATTTTAGTTTGAAGTCTATTTTATTATATATTAGGATAGCTATACCAGCTGGCTTCTTAAATCCATTTGATTGGAAAGTGTTTTCCCAGCCTTTCACTCTGAGGTAGTGTTTGTCTTTGAAGTTGAGGTGTGTTTCTTGTAGACAGCAGAAGGATGCATCTTGTTTTCATATCCATTCTGTCAGCCTATTTCTTTTTATAGGTGAATTGAGACCATCGATGTTAATGAATATGTTAATGAATATGCATGACCAGTGATTGTTAATTCCTGTTAATTTTTTGGTTGTAGTGTTGTATGTTTCCTTTCTTTGGTATTTGTTGGTGTGGGATTATCTATTGCCTGTGTTTTCATGGGTGTATCTAACTTCCTTAGATTGGATTTTTCCTTCTAATGCTTTCTGTACGGCTGGATTTGTGGAAAGATCTTGTTTAAATCTGGTTTTGTCATGGAATGTTTTGTTTACTCCATCTATTGTGATTGAGAGTTTTGCTGGGTATAATAGTCTGGGTTGGCATCCATGGTCTTGCAGTGTCTGCATGACATCTGTCCAGGACCTTCTGGCTTTTACAGTCTCCATTGAGAAGTCAGGTGTTATTATGATGGGTCTGCCTTTATATGTTACTTGGCTTTTTTTCTTTGCAGCTCTTAATATTTTGTTTTTATTCTGTATGTTTAGTGGTTTTGTTATTATGTGGTGAGGGGACTTTTGTTTTGATCCAGTCTGTTTGGTGTTTTGTAAGCTTCTTGTATCTTTATAGGCATTTCCTTCTTTAGGTTGGTAAAGTTTTCTTCTATGATTTTGTTGAACATATTTTCTGTGCCTTTGAGTTGGTATTCTTCCCCTTCTTCTATCCCTATTATTCTTAGGTTTGGTCTTTTCATGGTTTCCCAAATTTCCTGGACAATTTGGTTTATGACTTTGTTGGCATTAGTGTTTTCTTTGGCTCACTAATCTATTTCCTCTATTGTATCTTCAATGCCAGAGATTCTCTCTTCCATCCCTTGCATTCTATTGGTTATGCTTGCATATGTAGTTTCTGTTCATTTACTCAGTTTTTCTACTCCCAGCATTCCCTCCAGTTTGTATCTTCTTTTTTGTGTCTATTTCAGTTTTCAAATCTTGAATTGTTTCTCTCACCTGCTTAATTGCTTTCTCTTGCCTTTCATTAAGGAATTTATTGATTTCTTCCCATTTTTTATTTGACTTTTCCTCAATTTCTTTAAGGGAATTTTTCATTTTCTCCTTAAAGATCTCTATTATCTTCTTAAAGACATTTTTAAGGTCAATTTCTTCTGTTTCTTCTATGTTGGGATGTTCAGGTCTTACTGATGTAGGTTCTGATGGAGCCATGTTGGTATTTACTTTGCTGACTTTATTTTTGCACTGGCGTCTATCCATCTCTTTCTCCACTTGGTGCACGTGGTGTCTATGTCTGAGGGAGCCTCTCTTGGTCTGATTGACACTCTTGGTCCAGTGAGAACTCTTGGTCTAGTTGGGGCTCTTGGTCTTCTCCAGGAACCAGCTATCAGATTAGTTTATTCTTTGTACTATTTATTAGTTTGTATTTCACTGATTGCTTTCATTTTTATTACTTCTCTCTATCAGCTGAAGATTATTTGTGATGTGAGTAGCAGTCCAGTCATCCTTGTTCCACATCTAATATCCTCCTATGAGTGAGTACATACCATGTTTGTCTTTCTGAGTTTGGGTTACCTCACTCAGGATGATTTTTTTCTAGATCCATCCATTTGCCTGCAAACCTCATGATGTCATTGTTTTTTGCTGCTGAGTAGTTTTCCGTTGTGTATATATACCACATTTTATTTATCCATTCTTCAGTTGAAGGGCATCTAGGTTGTTTCCAGGTTCTGGCTATTACAAACAATGCTGATATGAACATAGCTGAGCAAGTGCTCTTGTGGTATGATTGAGCATTCCTTGGGTATATGCCCAAGAGTGGTATAGCTGGATCTTGCAGAAGATTGATTCCCAATTTTCTAAGAAAGCACCATATTTATTTCCAAAGTGGTTGTACAAGCTTGCATTCCCACCAGCAGTGGAGGAGAATTCCCCTGGCTCCACATCCTCTCCAG